CTGAAAACATGCTGAAATAATTAGTGAAAGAAAGGAAAAGAATGCCAACCACCATTTCTTGGACAATACAAATAAAAAACCCTACAGAGATCTGTCAGGGTACCACAGACTCTTGTTCCAGGAGTGCTGAGAGGTCTCCAGGTGCATGATGGTAGGATCAGGGCATCCCTCGGGCACTGGGGCCACTGAGGCAGCCACAATCCCGGGGTGAGGCTGGCACTGGCCAGGCATGGTGGGAGATGTGGCTCAGGTCAGGGCCCAACAGCAGAGGCTCAGCTTAAAAGTGGCTCTCACAAAAAGGGGCCTGTGGCTTTCCCAGCATCCCCAGCCACAGAAGGAAGAGGATATTTTCATATTTCCAAAAATTTCCTTTTTTCCTCCACGATGGGGAAATGCATTCAGAGCTTCAACATGTATGGAAGTTTGAGAAGCTCCTCAGTCTTCTGCTGAGACTGGATGCTTCTGCCTATATAGGGATGTATCACTGTTGAGCAATACTGGGTTGGATAGGAAACTAAGTATGCATTTCCAAAAATGCAAGAGAGCAGTGTGAAAATAAAGATTTTAATTGGACAAGAGGTTTCTGCCTGCATGAGATTTGAATTGGTTGATATAACTGTAAAATCTTCCACTGCAGGATGAGTGTGTGTGTTCATAACAAAAATCTGGCACGCTCAGTGAACCAGCAAATAATCCACTGTCACTAGCACAGCTATTAACCATCTGCAGGGATCTTTTAGTGTAATAAAGCTGGACATGGAAATGTGGCAAATGGCCTTATTACGCAGGAGGGTGTTCTATGTTGCATTAAACATCCATAATGTATTTAAAATTAAACATCTGCTTACAGCCAAAATGCCTTATTTTTGTTTACAGGTGGTCTCCACCAACCTGAATTTCATTTGAAAGGGGTATACACAAGGTATTCAGCAAATAAAATGATGTGCTTGTATTATTATTTAAGTATATTTAATTTTCTACTATCTCATAAGTATTTTGTTTTGAATGAAATACACTGACAATTACTCCCTTTGCTCCCTTATTAATATTTTAGTACCATATCATCTTGTTTTCCTCAGAGGTACAGGAAACAGCAAAAAGGAAGTAACTCATCATTGAGCTGTTTGTTCCTCTATTTATGATACAGGTTAATGTGTTATGGAAATTTTTTGAGAAAAAAAAAAGAGCAGTGTTCAGCTTTTCAATGTGCAGTAACACAGTGCTTCCATTCCTATAACCCTCAAGTAGTTTGTTACCTGCACACCTTATTCCTGTGTAACTTCTTCTGTACATAAAGACTTGCATGAAGTGTTTATCTTGATATATATTAAAAAAACAAACAACAAAACAACAACCAAACAATACTCCCTATTCTGTTTATTCCCTGTTTGTTTCTCCTCCATTAATTTAAACACCTTCCTCATTTTTTTTCTTTTTTTTGGTTCCTGAATTTTCTACCTACAGCTCATTCTCTGCAAGTAAAAGAAATGATATGAGTTTCCATTTTTTTATTTGGAGGAAAATATTGCACAGTGCAGAACTGGCATAGTGGAGAAGAGAATGTACCTGGAGCAGAGCAGAGGAAAATAGAGGAGCAACAAGTTCTATTCCCTCACGGGTTGTACTTCTGCCCTGTTCCATTGCCTGCTGGAAATGCAATTCATTTCACTGTCCCACAGTCTTATTACTCTGCTGTTATTTTTATCTATATCACTGTTCCTTATTATTTGTCTTGTTATAATGCCTAGATACTTCTGCCAAGATAAGTCTGTACAAATATGGCCTGAATCTGCCAGTAAAATGTCGCATATGATAATGGAAGAGGTAGGAACAAGAACACAGAAAGCAAGCATTATTGTTTCAGTTTTATGTAGAAAATAAGCCAAACTAAAGGAGATGTCCTCACATCTGGGAGTCTAGTGCTGTTTGAATGTCCCACTGTTCCCAAAAGAGATGGCAGATGTTACAGCCATAGTCCTCTGGAGGCTGTTGGACACATACATGTCTGGGAGTGTGAAGAGCTGCTTGTGTTTAGACAAACAGATACCTCTGTTCAGCCCAGCTGAGGTCACTTGCTCAAGGTTCTTCAAGAAATGCATAGCAAAGCTGTGCTTCAATATAAATCCTATAAGCTCCACTTCACTGTCTTAATCACAAATAAATTCTTCCTGGTTTCAGCTTCTCTTTTTTTTTCTTTCTCCCAACCACCTACACTACTGCTGTTATGAAGTGAATTATCCTTTCTTGCTTTACATTTTACTTCTTTCTGTTTCAATCTTTGATTTTGGCTCCAGTCCTCCTCTCTCTCAGCAGAAGGCTGAACACTGCTTCGGTTGGAGGCTGTGTTACAGAATGTTCTCCACCCCTTCTGCTCTTTTGTTGGCATCTCCTCCCAAACAACTCCAATGCTCTCTGAAGCACAGGCATCGATAGCCTTTGTAATTCTGTTTTAGCCAGTGTGCCAGTAGCTGTTGGTAGACATGCAAACATGTGATGTATTAAAAAACTCATGTCTGTGAAATACTCACTACGATCAGCTCTCCAAGATAATTACATATGTGTGAAAAAAAAATTATTCTGATTCATGTCAGATGTGTTTCCTTTTAAGAGTAATGTTATACATTTATTTTAGGCGAGATTAGGTAGAAAAGATTGACCTTCTGAAAGAACTCTATTATTCTGTACAATCGCAACTTTCTTTCTTTTTCTGCCACTAAGTAATTCGATTTCTGTGTTGACATTTTTATCTTCTTCTTATAACCTTTCCAAAAGCCATGTCACTTACTGAACTTTTGCTGACAAACAAAAGGAAGAGAAAAAATGCCATAAACCTCCACATACAGCAAATAGCAAGGGCATGCTGTATTACTCAGATATGGTTGAGTAACTTTTTAGCATTCATTTCTCACTCCACTCCTTTAGTTCCATTGTCTTTTCCTTCTGGTTTTGCTTTAGTTCTCATCTACCCAGTACTCATCTGTTTGTTCTGACACTTCCTTTTTTTTCTCATCATTTTTATTGTGACTACCTCTTCTTTCTTTAGAATTAATCTATTTGATTAGTTCTGTCTTCATTTTTGTTCAGCCTCTCTGGCAACCCATTCAGGTATTACATTGCTGTGAAAAAAATTATATGTAAAGAGTTTCCTAACTCCACAGCATCTGCTGTTCATCAAAATGTCTCCATCAATGTGCCATTTTTTCTGCTTTGCTTTATCAAATCTGGATGAATCCATGTTATTTACCTACTTAACAACCACCTTGTGAACAAATGTAATTTTAGGATTGGAGCATCTTGTTCTAATGCCAAGCTAAATGGCCACCACAGACTTAGCTAATGTAGAGCTGCCAGAAAAACAGATTTTCATGAGAATCAGAATTAGTGGCTGATGAGAAAAGTTATAATGATACTTCTTATTCCACTATGAGAAGTCAACCTCCGAATATACATTTTTTTAGAGCAATACTGTAAATAGAACTGGTGTTCTTTGTCCTTAATATATCTGTTGCATGGCCTCCATAATAGATGCAGACTCTAGGGGGACTGAAATTGCTTTAACATCACCTTGCTCCAACTGGTTTGAATGTCACTCTCCTGCAATACGGGTCTGATGCTTTTCTGCCAACAGCACACTGCTGAGCTGGTCTCCAGCCAGGCTGAAAGGTTGGACCAGGTGTTTGGAATATACTCTGCAAGCCCCTCTGAAGAGCTGAGAGCCACATGATGCTGTGAGATTGTGGGCCGAGGAGTGCTGCTTTGGTTCTGTGGGCTGCTTCGGTCTTCTGGTAAAATATCCACACTGAGAAAGCCACTACTATCACAACACAGCCAGAGAAGGCACTGGCTGAGCTCATCAGGCACTCCCTCATCTTGAGACTACATACAAGCGGCCAATGAGGAAGGCGTGATTTCATCACACTTTGGATCTAAATGTGTCTATGGAAAAGCATATGGCTTCGCAATTGTTTTTGGCTTGGTTTATTTTTTTTTTTTGTTGTTGTTGTTGTTTTTGTTGTTGTTGTTGTTGTTTTTTGTTTCTTTCTTTTTTTGATACTTTATTTCTCTCTCCTTCCCTGCACAGACTGTTGCTGTCATCTTCACGAGATCAAATGTGCGCTGGTGTCATGCTTGATGCTGAAATTCACACCTACTTTCCTTCAGCAGCCCCAGCCAAAGTTAAAAGAATTTCTAACCGCTGACGATTTTTTTTTTAGAAGGTATTTGATCATGATGCTTTTAGCAGATTTAATTTTGAAAATGAGGTGATGTAATGAATTAAAGGGAAAACAAAAAAAAAGAAAAAAAAGCCAGCCACAGAAGACTGGGAGAGCTACTGTTTCACACCCAAAGAACAACTGTTGAATATTCATTCGTTCGGCAACCTCCTGCAGCCCAACCCCAATAAGGGAGAAAGATCTGTGGGTGTCCCCTGAAGGGCCGCACCCCGTGGTTAAGGAGCCCCCTGAGCACTGGGCGCCGGGAGCAGGGCCAGGAGGTGGCCCCGAGGGAAGGAAAGGCAGTGCTCGGGGGCAGGGCAGGGGCTGCGGCCGCCGGGGTGCGGGGAAGACGGTGCTGAGGGAGGGCAGGAACGCCGGGCAGCGGGCGGGAGAGCGGGCAGGGATTTTTGTCCCAGAAAGGGGCAGGGGTTTCGCCCGGCTGGGCAGGCGCCGGGGCCCTGGCGGGGGCGGCGGCTTTCCCGGAGCGGCGCGGGGGCGGCGGTGGCGGTGCCCGGTGCCGGACCCGCGCCTCCCTCTCTCTCCCTCTCTCCCTCTTTCCCTCTCTCCGTCCCTCCCTCCGTCGCCCCGCGCGTGCCGCCCGCCCCGCCCCGCCGCCCGCGGCCCCGCGCGCCGCTCCTCGCACAGCGCCGGGCCGTGAGGGAGCGGCCGCGCCGGGTCACCTTCGCGGCCGCCGGCAGCCCGGAGCCGCCCCCGCCGCCCCCTGCCCGCCGCCATCCGCCGCTTCGGGCCGTCCCCGCCCCGGGGGAGCGGGTGCCCCGGGGCATGAGCTGCGCCTCGGCGAGCGTCGTGCTGCCTGCCGGGGAGCCGCCGAGAGCCGCCGCCGCCCCGCTGGAGCTGCCGGCCGGAGCGGGGGAGGCGAGCGGGGACAGCCCCGAGGAGGGCGAGGGCCGGAGCGGCGGCTCGGAGAGCGGGGCCGCCGGCGGCGACAAGCCCGAGACGCGCTCGGTGTGCAGCAGCAGCGAGAGCGGCAGCGGCGGCCACGGCGGCGGGGCCGGCCCCATCTGCAAGATCTGCTTCCAGGGCCCCGAGCAGGTGAGGAGAGGCGCCGGGGGCGGGCGGCAGGCACTCCGCGCACCTTCGCACCCCCGCGCCGGGGCCGAGCCCTGTCCATGGTGCTGATCTCGGCGTCGCTCCCCGGCGGGAATCTCCCTCCCCGGCTGCCGCCGTGCCGGCTCGTTGTGGGGAACGCCTGGGGCGAACCTGAGCTGGCGCAGAGCTCTGGGAGAATTCAGGGATTTTGCCGTGTCTGGCTTGCACGCTGGGTGTCCTCTGGCGCTCGCGGTCCCTGGTTCACCTCTGAGGTACTCTACACAGTGCGAATTTCTCAGGTTTCTGTTGGACTTTAAAATGAGTGTTAGCTTACAGGTAATGCTGAGAAGACCTCCAAGTATCATCTCTGTCGTGACGTTACTGGGCATAATATCAGCAATGGATCTGTAACTAGCATTTTGTAGCTTGTCTTGGAGTTGGAAAGAAGAGAATAACCAATTTATATAATACAGAAACTACTGGGGGAAATGTTTAATTACATTATTTAAGGTCCTGGCTACCTGGACAGCAGAGAGCTGTGCTCCAAGAGCAAGGTTCTCTTGGAGTCGTGACGTCACACTTTTTTTTCTGAGTGATGACTTCGAACAGCTACTGGAGAAATGTATCCAACCACTTCTGGTAGCTTTTGACGTATTTGAAAGGGCTAATAGTACCGTTGTTTAACGCATGGTAATATTTCAGTTGTTTTACACAGGTATGTGAACATGTGTACACAGCTTTCTGCCTTTTCTCAGTAGAAGCAGCTAGGTATTTTTAAGACAGTTACATTTTTGAGTATTTCATAGCCAAAAATACCTGCTTTTCCACATAGTGAAATTGGGTCGTTGTAACAGACCCCTTAATATTTTGGTGTTGAGTGTACATATATGTGAAAGGTTCCTTTAAAGTTGATGTTTCTGTATTGCCTTTCCAGGGTGAATTGTTAAACCCTTGCCGCTGCGATGGCTCAGTACGATACACGCATCAGCTTTGCCTTTTAAAGTGGATAAGTGAAAGAGGGTCATGGACCTGTGAACTCTGCTGTTACAGATACCATGTTATAGCCATTAAAATGAAAAAGCCTTGTCAGGTAATTTGTTCTTTTTTAAAAAAACCTATGTATTTTCAGTCATTTTTTTAAAAACAAAATTATTCTTACTTCTACTTCCAAGGTTTTTGGAAAATACAGCAGAAGATCCTATTTACCTCACCAGGTAGCACCCACTTGAAATTGGTTTTTAAGACCAGTTATATATTAAAATGTGTAGTGATTTGGTTCTGTTATGTTCTCCTAGTTTTTGGCTTGCTGTAGAAATGGTCTTTAGAGGTTGGTAAATTCTGTAAGTAGTTAAATCATGCTGAGACGTGACAGTAAACTGGAATCTCCCAGATTCACTTTCTAAACTTTACACGTCTTTATTTTTTGTTGAAGACTCACTCAAAGGTTGATTTTGTTCTTTCTTCAAGGGGTTAATTTTGTTCTTGGGGTCCAGAGGGGACAGGCAAAAGAAAGCTTCTGTTGTCTGTGTATTCAACTACTGTAAAAATGTAAAAAGGGGGTGACTTTTCAGTCTTGGCACAATTCAGAGCAGTAGAACACTCTTAAAGTTCTATCCACCAGTAGATGTTTCAAGAAGCTGAAGTGTGCAGTAACATTTTCCACACCTCTGTTTCAGCAGCATCAGAACATGAAGTTAGAGCATTGTAGTGGTAGCATGTTCAGGAAGAGGCAGGGGGAGAAACTCAATGCTCCAGCAGATCTCTTAGGGAAGCCTTAATATCACTCTGCATATTAGAATTCTTTAGAGGCTTTAAATTCCATCTTGAAAATTGTATTTTATGACATCTGAGGAACACATTTAGTAAGATAATTGTATCTTTTTTTAGTTTTGATCCTAAGAGCTCAGAGATGATGGAGCTCTCAAAGGCCAGAGCACTTGGGTCATTTTTCTGTGCCTGTGTTTGATTGAAGTTTTATAGAAAAGACATGGTTGGATGGTAATGGCAGTTGTGTAAACGTGATAGGCATTCCTTAGATACAAAATACCTGGAGTATTTGCTTACAGCCGTTCAGATTAGGGGCAAGTACTTTCAGAGCCAGTGGACTTCAATTTTTTTCCTTTATAAATCCTCAAAGGAAAGGTTGTGGTAAATTTTCCTGGATAGAATCTTTATGATGTAAAAAAGTAAAGAATTTGTAAAACACCTCAGAAAATTAAGGTGGTAGATTCTGTTTCTACACAGACAGAATTTGGCATGTGGTTTAATCCTTTTGGCTTTTTTTATCCTTTTAAAAAGTCTTTATTTCTTGCATATCCACAGAATCTCATCCTTTTCCTAGCAAAGATTACAATAGCAATAGTTTACAATTATAGTATCTGAAAATCGTTGTTAGACACCAAAGATATGACACAGTTGCCTGCAAAGAGGCATCTAGTACTATTTGAGATGTCCTAAGATAGCCAAAATGTGTACACAGAATAGCAGATATGACAGAACTTATGAAGATGGAGGCCAAGTGGATATTAAATGACATCTGAAAAGTCATTAGATACCTATCTGTGAACAGCAGAATCAAACCCAAGTCTGAAGAACGACTATTCAGTTTCTGTGGAAAAGAGAAGCAAAGGAGAGTCAGTAGATGAGACGGTAGTCAGCAAAGTCTGGCAAAGCTTTCAAGGGAAGTAGAAAGAAACTGAAGAGACAAAAGTTAAATGTCATTCATTGCACTAGTTGTCACCTTATTTTTCTTTTTTTATTTGTTGGGGGGAGGAGGGAAAGAAACCAGATTCATGTTTCTTGTTCAATAGCTTAATACTTGATTTATTCTTAACCCTGTCTTTCATTTTTTAGGCAAGTCTGTCCTTTCTTTCTTGACAAAATAGCGTACAGAAAGATTTCATGAGTTGCAACTCAAATAATAAGTTAGACATACAATTCTAAGGTCAAATTCCTGACACCAAAAAGATCGCCCATCTCTTTGAGGGAACACAGTAGTACCTTTCTCAGTCTCCTACACAGAATATTCCTCTTATAGTAACAGAATCTAAAAGGAAGTCTCAAATTGCAGTCATCTATGTAATTTTATAAGGGGAATTGGTTTTAAAATGCTCTAACTCCCTCCCCCATATTCTTGACTGTACTAGCATTGGCTGTTTTTAGCAGCTGTCTTGGCTTAAACTTTTGGACAGGTTCTGAGTCATTTTCTACACCACACAAAAGCTCGTTTTAAGGTAACTTTTTGGTTAGTTTTGGCAAAAAGCTAAGGGTGAGACCATTTCAATACAGAAGGAATTTAAAACATAATCAACTGAAGCAGTGAACTTACTTTAAAGTTCCCAAAAAAGCAGGACTTCTTGAATAAATTAGATACAATATTTAGACAAGAGTAGTTTACTACTCAACAACCAGTAGTCTGCCTCAGTCCATCTTCCCAGAATTGTCTCTATTTGTCAGCCTTTTACTTATTAGAACTTTGTAGGCCCTGTCATAGGAGAGAAAACTGGTGCTATTAACAAAAATAGCTTTTTTTCAGGTGAACCCAGATTTACACCAGGTCTATGCAAACCTGGTCTATTTACTCTCAGGTCTATGCAGATTTACAACAGCTCTTCAGGTTTGCTTTCACCTCATGTATTTAAGGAATGTAACAATGTGTAGAGACTTCAGAAAGAAGAGATTTTTCTATGTTTTCGTTCAGAACATTGGAATAGATGTGAATATTCCATTTAATATCTAACATGTTCTGTGGTTTCTGTTGCTTCATGGAAGGCAAAGTCATCTCCAAGGGGTGCCTCTTCTGGGGCAGTACATTCAAGAAATAGAATATTTCTATTCTGACAGAAATTCTTCCAGTGTCAGTGTTCCAGTTCCAAATTCAGCAGCTACTACATAATTCACTTTTAAGAATCTAATCCCGGAAACACATAGATTTTATTATAGGAATAAACCTTAAACCATAAAAAAACTCCCAAATTAACCCATGGGCTAACAGTGGAAGATGAGCACACAAACAGGTTGATGACATTTGATATGAAGTATAACAGAGATTTGGAATTTTTCAGTCTCCTTCTTAGAATCATATCAGGAAGGCATATTTAACCTTGCAGTAGTCCATTAATGAAAACACATGTTCATGTTGCTGGACTTGCTCCATTGTCAGGGTGGAATTCGATCCAATAATAGGCAGGACTATGTTAATAACTAGAAAATTCCCTTACTGCCCTTCAAACTATAATGAGGGGAGCTGGAACAAATACTGCTTTAGTCAGGGAGTTTTGGAAGGTTTTTTTGAAAATACTTAAAAAGGAGAGAGAAACTTCAAATATATGACTTGGAAATTAAACTAATTTCGAATTATATTTGAGATTAACAAAAAGAAAGAAAGTGAAAAAAGAAATATTTTCTATTCGTTTGTTAAGATTATAATTTGTACAGATTTCCTTCCTAAAGGAAATACATTCCTAAAAGAAATATAAACACATCGTTATATTTTTATTGGTGCTATCTAATTTTTAAGCTGTTAGGAGATTAGTTCACTAGACTTGCACTTAAGTAGGAATGTGTATTGAAGAATGTCAATGCTCTTGTAGATTCAGAAATAATGTTTAGAATCATGCAAAGGTTAAGAATATATACTTTGGTGCTAAAACCTGTCACTTCTATAAGTGAGCAGTAAAGATATTTAGAGAGTAGCTTTTTCTAGACTGTTAGTGTAGTCTGTCATAAAATAATGTTATTAGATGTTTAATAAATCCTGTTCATTAAAACATTATATTCTGGTACTTTGGTGGAATGGACTTATTCCAAAAGTCTATGGATGTGCTAATTTAAAACTTAATTGTATGCTAATTCAACACCTTTTCTGATATCAGAAAAATTGCAAAATTTATTTTAAGAAGTAAATGCTTACTTGTAAGGTCTGATTTCTTAAAATAGAAAAAAAATTTAAGGTGCTACTTTTCAAAAGGTAAGGTTTCACTTTTTTTACACTAAATTTTGTTAATGTGTAATCCTCACTCATTTGAGAGAGCTCATTGGCATCAACTAGGTAAGCATGAGCAAAACTCGAACAGACTGCAGGTATGTGAATGCATGTTACATCAAAAAGTGAAAAAGTCAAATTCTTCAGGTACTTCGGTATAAAGGCCAGTGTCAGGAAAAAATTGTGTAGTAAATGTTTAGTAAAAGTTTTTGCTAATGACTATGCTCAGCTGGATGACAGCATTAAATTCTTCTAGGCATAACTAAGAAGGGGAAACGGAAAAGGCTGAAATCTTCAATTATGTATTCTAAATTGCACAATGTACTAAGAACAATCTGTTAATGTCTCTTCCTGTACTGAAGATCCAGAAGGATACATTGTACTATTCCATATGTCAGTGGACAAAAAAGAAAAAAGAGGATTTTTCCAATATTGGACAATTTACAAAGAAATTTGAACAAGAGATTAGGGACAAATCTGTGGTACACTGGCCCTGGTACCGAGACCCCTCGTACACTAGTCATTTCTAACTATAATTCGGTTTTTGGCTTCTCAAATGGGATGTGCTTTAAGAGACCTCTTGAAAAGAAAATAATGAAACTTCGCAGGCACCCTTTGAATACAAAAGCACTGTGCAAGGGCTGTTGGAAAATAAAATAGTTTGCTGAGATAGGTATCAAGAACTGAATTAATGAGATTCAATGCCTGAGTAGTCATTAGAAGGTAATTAATACGTCAATAAATGCCTGGAAGGACTTAAAAAATCAAATCAAGTCTTTTTAATTTCATGTGATGGAGAAGAGAGTCCATCATAGTGGAGAAAGAAGGCCAGTAATATGGTCAAAGTAATGGAATAAGAGGAATTGTACAAAAGCAGTTTTGTACTTGCTGAGAAAATTACTTTTGTCATTAGTTTAAAAGATGTGTTGCAGTAATTGAGACATAAGACAAAAGCGATGATGAGAAATTAATTTTTTATATATGAATGCTACATAAAAAGAACATGCAAGTTTTAGAAATATTGAGAATAGGAGTATCCAAAAATATATTTAAATTTAAGATAATTCCTGATAAATTTAAGATCATTCCAAGAGCTTGAGGAAGGC